CTTAGAGTCTTAGAAGAACTTAAGATGAAAGTTGAGCTTCCATTGAAATTGTACTCTGGCAGTAAAGCTGCTATTAGTATAGCTCGTAATCCATTTCAACATGACAGAACCAAGCATATTGAGATTGATCGACACTTCATAAAGGAGAAGTTAGATACTGAAATCATATGTCTACCTTTCGTGACTTCAAGTTAGCAAATTGCGGATATCTTGACCAAAAGGTAGGCAAAACCTACCTTTGAACATTTGATAAACAAGTTGGGCATGATAGATATCTATGCATCAACTTGAGGGGGGTTGTTGGAAAATATTTTATTTCCATATTTAATTATTTACGTTTATTATCATTTATTTTCTTTTATTCTCCATTAAGGAGATAATTAAGTATTTTTATTGTATTCTCATTATATAAACCAGTCTTTGTCTGAGGAATAAAACTACAACAACTTTTATCTATTTCTTCCAATATGGTATCGAGATCTCTGGGTTAGGTTTACCGTAAATCTTTCTACAACTAGTAAAGCTTTCTGTTTGACCCTCTTTTTTATCCGATCTGATTCACATACCCGTTTAACCTCTTATAGAGAATAACAACGGCGGTGGCCGCAACAACGGAGGTGGCCGTGGAAACGGCGGCAATGATCAAGAGGGTTCCTCATACTCATTCGAGGTCAATCCCTAAACAGAATGGGAATAACTATAATGAATGGGCTTAAATCATTCGGTTGGTGTTGGATAGCAAAGGGAAACTTGGTTTCTTAACAGGAGAAGTAGTTGAACTGGTATCAAGAGCCTCGTTTAAGATCGGGTGGGCCACCTACTATAGTTTCACTATCGGGCCACCCATCATTTATTTCCACGCTCCAGATGTCCAATCCTAGGCGTGAAGGGGTGTGTTAAAAGTCCCACATCATACAATATATGGCCTGAACATGTCTTTATAAGTGGGGGCAATCATCACCTTACAAACCGGTTTTATAGGGTTGAGTTAGGTCTAACCGCATTTCTTTACAACATGGATTCTAACGTGTTTGAAAATATCATTGAAGAAGAAACAACAAAAGGAGCATGGGACAAGTTAAAGAACTTGTACGACGAAGATGAAAAGTTGAAGATGGTGGAGTTGCAAACGTTGAGAAAATTGTTTGAGATAACTCGAATGAAAGAAAATGAGTTAGTTCCATAATTCTTTACACTGGTGATATCGCTAGCAAACCAGATGAAGGAGAATGGTGAATCAATCACTAATCTGCAGAATATTGAGAAAGTATTGAGATCTCTAACTTTAAACTTTGATTACATTGTCGTGTGCATTGATGAGTCTAAGAACCTAGTTGAGATAAAGGTGGAAGAACTTCAAGCTTCATTGGAGGCTTATAAGATGATATTGAAGCAGAGGAACTTAGAAAGGGATAAAATGGCTAAACAACCAATGCAAGCATGATTCATCAAGAAATTGTGTTTGTTGACTGATCTAAAACAATTTTGTCCATCCAAAACACGTGGTTTGTTGAATAAGCTTCCATCTTTAATTGTGTCCATTTGAGCAGAATTTATTTTCCCTGGAGCTCACCCAACAACCTAGGGCGCCTACTTTGATACTAATTGAAATTATGTTCCTCGGAACACGGTGTCCTAGATAACTGGTTTGACTTCTTATACCAAAATCCACACAATTAACACAGTTTAACTTGTACAAGATGATGTAGCAGAAATGCAATAAATAATACGATAATTGGTAACCCATCTCGATGCAATAACACCTATGTTTGGAGGGTTGGCTTCAAACCCAAGAAAGGAAATTCACTATTAGTATTTTATTATAACTATTATTGTAAGCAACAACAACCCATATGTTGTTCAATGACTCTTCCCAATACTACCCAATAACTTTCTATTTAGGTCTCCCCCTAAATATGAGAACCCTTCTCACTTTCTTCTTAATCGCACCACCCGTGATTGTAGATTACAACTCAATAATCAATGTTGAATATTACCACTCAACTAGATAAACCTACAACTATGCCAAGTTACTGAAACATGGTGCGATGTACATACAACAATAACAAGGACTCAAATAAACCATAGCACTCTAATATCTTCAATGTATTGTTTGCTTTTCAATGTAGGTTTTTAGCTTCTTATATAGCAAATTATTATGGGCTTTTCTCCTTGGATCTCTGATTTAATTTCGTCCAAAATCTTTACACAACCTGTTGGATAAGATTGGTTCCATAAATATATCTAACGGAAAGGTATGATTTAGTTTAATTCAAATTCAAATTTAAATCACATTTAAATCGGATTTGATTTTCACATTTGTCCAACAAATCATATAATCATATTGTTATATAAAAGAAATAAAATATAATTAAATCTTCAACCGAAAATTCGTCCCAAAGTGCAACTATCTGTAATGCCTTTCCCCCAAGGTAAGCATTAGTTCGATATACCCCGAAGGCCAGGTCACCATGTCGTTAAAGACATGTAAATTGGATCCTTGATACAACCATAATTTCTCCTTCTTCAGCCCCGTTTTTCTCAAATAGGTATGATATCACAGGAACTTCCACCATCAATCAAAACCTTGGAAACATGGATTGACGATAATAACCCTTGTCACCAAGGGAAAAAAAATTCATTCAAGAATCCATCGGTCTTCTCGCTGTCTCAGAATCCGAGGAACGTCCTTTTCAGACTCGTAGCCGAGGTGCTTCCTTTTTTTTTGCCGATGTCCATGAGCTCCATAATATTTCTTTTCATCGTGCTTTTGGAAGGGATGCTTAACCTGGGGTTTTCCCAAGTTAAGGATGCAATATATTAGGGGTTGCCTTAATGGCCTTCATCTTCCCGCTACTATCCTCCTTACCTTTTTGGGAGACTATTTCTTTTCAAGGGAGCCTTCTTGTCCTCTCTTGTTGTCTTTGGTGTACTCGAATAGCTCCCCCCTTTTTAATAAGCTCTTAAATCGCATTCTTGAGCTTGATACGTTTGATGATGTTGTGGTTGTGATTTTTATGGTAGTATTTGGACTTATCATTTCATGTTGATTCTCGAACTAGGTATGAGTTTCTTATGTTGATTTCTTTGAACTCTGTGTTGCCACATTCTTGTAAGATCTTTTCTCTCGAAGGATTCAAAAGGATATATGAGTTAAACCTTGAACATATTTTTCGCGCATTCTCCTCTTTGAACCTTATGGGCAGTTAGAATATGTATTAGATGAGAATTGATATGTATAATTAGAAAGGAGATAAATTAATCATAACTATTAATTTTTTATCCATTAAAATTAATAACTTAAATTAATTTCTCTTTCCATGGTCCTCTTTTAACTTATTTAATCAATACCAAAATTTAATTCATGTTATATTTAAGAAAAAAAATATATTTGTTGCATTTTAAGAATTTTGATAATCAATTTAATTATTTTTTATAGATTTATTATCATAAAATAACTCTAAGAAAAGCGTTTTTTTTGTTTCTTTTTATCAATATACAAATATTTATTGTTATTGCATAAAAAAGTAAAAATTAATATATCAATTAAAACCTATAAAATATTTATTAGAGTAATATGTAACTATATTGGTTTAAATAATATATTACATGCTAGTTTTTATTCAATGATAATAAATATAATTTAATCAGTTATCATTATTCTTAAGATGCAACAAATACTTTTTTCTATAAAATTATTTTTATATATTTTTTAACATAAAATAATTTCATATGTGGTGTTTATTATTATATAATTAAAATATAATTATTTATTATCATTGTATAAAAAACACTCTCTCAATTAACATCTTAATTAAAATCATTAATATAACTCTATATCAATTCTAAAATACTCTCTACTACTCTATATCAATTTATTATTTTTTACTTTTTATTTAAAAAAATTAAATATATGTATATTAAATAAAAAAACCAAAAACACTATGGATAAAAATATTTTAATGTTAAAAAATCAAAATAATATAATTAGTTCTCATCATTCTTAAAAAATACAACAAATGTATTTATTCTTAAAATATTGGTCAAATTACAGCTTTAGTCTCTCTATTTTGTCTGATATACTAAATTAGTCCGTCTATTTTAAATTTAAATAACTTTGATCTCTTTATTTTAAATTCAAACTGTTATAGTCCCCCCTCTTAAATTTCTTTCATAGAAAATCGATGAAAATTTCGTTTTTTAACTTATATTTTTATCTACAAAGTTCAATAATAGGTTTATATATTTTCCACTGTTTACTGCACCAATTAAAGAGGATTCCAGATTACAATTTCCATGCTAAATGCGAAAAGATGCAAATCATCAACATCAGTTTTGTTGATGATGTTCCTCTCTTCACCCATGGGGATGCCCAATTTGTGAAGTTGCTAATGGCTAAACTGCATATGTTTTCTCACTCCACTGGTCTAGTTGTGAACCCTGTAAAGTGCAAGGTGTATTTTGGGGGGGTTGATAATGAGACTAAAACGGATATTTTGAATTCTACTTCTTTTATGGAAGGTGATCTTCTGTTTCGATACCTGGGAATTCCCCTCACCAGCAAAAGACTTTCAGCACAGCATTACATGAGTTTAGTTGATAGAATTGTTGGCCGGATCCAACACTAGAGTTCTAAGCTTTTGAGCTACGCAGGCAGAATCTAGTTGGTTAACAACATCATCACTACTATGGCAGCCTACTGGATGAACTGCCTTCCTTTCCCCAACCATGTGATAAAATCTATCAATACGATATGCAGAATGTTTCTTTGGACAGGCAGCGAGTCGAAGTCGATAAAATCCCCTATTGCTTGGAAGACGGTATGTAAGCCTCGGAGGAAGGTAGGATTAAATGTTTTGGATCTGTATGAGTGGAACAAAGCATGTTTAGCTAAATTGTTTTGGAACCTTTGTAATAAGAAGGACTCCCTTTAGGTGAAATGGATTCATTCCTTTTACTTCAAATCTACTAATATTTTGCAGGTCCAGTAAAAACATTGTATGTCATGGATTTTCAAAACTATTCTGAGGCATAGAGACATCATGACAGACATGGGAGATTGGAACGATATGAAGGTGAAATACTCTGTCGGCAAAGTCTATCAATACCTCAAAATGGATGAACATGATGTTAGATGGAACCACATGTTATCAAATTCTATTGCTAGACCGAAAGCACTTTTTACTCTTTGGATGGCGTGCCACCGTAGACTTGCGACAAAGATGTGGCTCAAAAAGTTTGGAATTACTACGGATGACAGATGTAAATTCTGCAACAAAGAAGAAACGATTGACCATCTGTTTTTTCAATGCCCCCCGTTTCAAAGCTGCTGGCAGGAAATTCTGGGGTGGATGAGAGTTCAACACACCCCTTGCGATTGGCATGAAGAGCTGAACTGGATTATGACTCAGTGCAAGGGTAAGGGCTGGAGGAAGTGCCTCCTGCGTAGTTCTATAGCGGAGACTATCTACGAAGTCTGGAAGTACCGTAACAACGCCGTCTTTGGCAATACTGTGCATACCATGGAGATTAGAGATGTAGTTATCTCTATCCTTGTTAACAGAGGGTGGGTTAATACTAGTTTGAGACGTCATATAGCTAACCTTCTTATAGATTAATGGAGTTTTTTTTTATTGTTTTGTGGGTGGGATTCCCTTATACCCATGTATATTCTCTCTTTTGGCTTTATATAAAGTTATTTATTCCAAAAAAAAAAAAGGTTTGTATACGATGATTTGTTATCTGTTACATATAAATTGTCATTTAAAAAATGAAAACATTGTGAATTTTAAGTTCAAAAATATGAAAATGACACCAAAACTGTTTAAATTTAAAATAGAGGGATTAAAACTATTTAAATTTAAAATGAGGAGACTAAAACTAAAATTAAACCTAGAATTAAATATTTATTATTTAGATCATTTTAATTATAAATAAAAATACAAAATACATTTGAATTATATTTTATAATAATATCCTAACTAAATATAATTATGTTTATAGTAAATTATTTAACAATATTCTTACAATGATTTAATAGTCACAATAAAAATATTTTTGATAAGAATATCCTTTTGAGTTTAATTGATATGCACTTACACTATAAAATAATTTTACACTATGAGTTCATCATCATCCGTTGATATAAAATGATTTTAAGGGATTAAAGATGAATAGTATTGATGAGATGAACATTATTTTCAAGGCGTCCATAAATATATTGTGGCGATTGTTGATTCCGCTAAAAGTAAAGCTTTTTGCTTGGCGTTTGATATTGAATAGATTGCCAAAAAAAATTAAATCTGGTGGTCAGGGATGTAATATCCAATTCCCACGACACAGTGTGTGTATTTTGTATTATGGAGGTGGAAACGTTGGATCATATTTTATTTAATTGCCCAAAGATCCAGTTGGTATGTCAGTGTATTTTTGATGGGATCCATGTGGAGAGCATAAGACGACACAATGACAAGGAACATTTATTGGACTGATTTATCAGGTTGATTGGTAGAACCTTGAAGAAAACGACAAATTTAGTGTGGTTTTGTTCATGTTAGAACATTTGGTGGGATAGAAACCAAATCAATTTCAATGATAGTTTATTTATTAATGTAGGTGTTATTGGAGATAGAATTAAGCAATATTCTTAGTTATGGATGGCTTTTTGTAACTCAAACCCACATAGGTGCTCGTAATATGATTGGTTGAAACATCCGACTAATTTTTTTGTAAAAGTTTGGATGGATAATAGGCCGATAGTTTGGGTGCAATGTTGGGTTATTTTAGCAATTGTTTTGGTTGGGCCGATGTTAAAATACTTTGTAATATGTTATGTGTATAATGAAAGTTTTTTGATTATAAAAAAAAATCATCATCCATTGATATTACTTAATTAATGATTAAAATAAAAGTCAAATTTCTTATAACATCCAACGATTATGATTAAATGACAATATCAATCAATGTATTTCAATTAAATTCTCAAATGTAATAAAAAAATTTAATGAAGTACTAGTACTTTTTGTATGAAATTTTTATATGTAAAATGCTAATTCTTGTTTTTTATAATAGATATTAATTCTAACTGGATATTAAAAACGATATATATATATATATATATATATATATATATATATATATATATATATATATATATATATATATATATATATATATATATATATATATATATATATATATATATATATATATATATATATATATATATATATATATATATATATATATATATATATATATATATATATATATATATATATATATATATATATATATATATATATATATATATATATAACTCCCAAATCACAGATAACATCTGTGTTTTTGTTAAAATTAAACAAAATAAAACTATCTGTTTTTTGGATTTTGTGAGCTGTTAAGTTACAGCGGTTTCATACCACTTATTTGCTTCCCTATCTCCTACAACCTTAAGTGCCCCGAAAACCCTGCCGCCAAATTCTCATCCTTTCAAAACCGAAACACAAAAACATACAAAAACAACATTATTCACATCATCTTTTTTCTAATCCAATTCCAACCAAAAATAAACTTACAAAAAAAAAATAAATAAAATTCTGAAGACGTGTAGTTATTCATATAATCACCGCCAGAATCTATAGAATAAAACAAGATTAATCACATTGTTGTTTTCTGATTACTATAAAACGTGTGAATATTATGAACCAAAATATCATAAATGAATGAATGTCTTCGTCTACCTCTTCTTCTCGTTCAAAATCAAATGCTAATTCTGAAATGACCAAAGCTAATAACCATAACAACCTTTCCCTTAGCCCTATCCACCCCACCACCACCACAACAAATTCAACTCCTGACACACCTAATGTCAAGAATGAGAAAAAGAAAAAGGTTCTTTTTTCTTCTTGTTTTCTTTCTTTATGATTTCGTTCATGCATTGCGTTCGTTGCTCATTTTTTTTTGTGATGTTTTTTGTGAAGTCTATCTTGCCGAAGATTTTTGGATCAAGGCGAAACGGGAGAGGCTCCGATGAAGATGCACTCAAATCTAATCCAGAAGGAGATTCAGTTTCAATTAGTTGCGGTATTCATTAATCATTATATTTATATCTCTTTCATTTTCATTTTCTCGCGGTTTGCTCCTTTATTTATTTTCTGTTTGAATGTTTTTGTGTTGAAAGATTTGGAGAAGAAGCCTGAAAGCAAGAAAAAATCATTCCTTGAAGCTCCTTCCATTATGAGAAAGAGTTTCTCAGGTATATGCATTTTCTTGATTTTGTTTACATTGATAACTTTTGGTCAACTATGGATTCTTGATCCAACGGTTAAGAGAATAGACACTTGTAGTTTTACCTATCAAACAAATGAAAATTTTCTCTATGTATTCGTACTATTTTGGCAGCTTACCTAACAACATTGATATTTTGGTTATTAGCTATTTAACACTGAGACTTTAGATTGAAAGTGTGTTCGTGTTTAGTGACTGATACAACACAGACACATATGGTTAATTCGCGTTATTATGTATTTTTAGTTTTTTACTGGTGTTAACGTGTAAGTGCTAGTTTCGTATGGGAGAAGAAATCAATTTTTCTTGTTTGATATTGACCTTAAGCTATCCCCTTGTCTTTATCATAGTAGATATGAAAATGTGACAAAGTAAGCCAATGATTTTATTTTCTTATCTACTCACAGAAAGAGAAACCAGCCCTGGGATTGAAGGCTTAAACTTATGCACTTTTGATCCACAGCCGATGCCTCCGGAAAACGAAATTCAGAGTTTCAGGTTAAGGGATTTCTTTATCAGTTCAAACAAGGCTTGGAAATGTTTGCATATACCATGTTATTCATGCTGTGCTGTTTCATAATTGGAATTGCAGGGTCTTTGTTGCAACATGGAATGTAGGAGGAAAGTCTCCAAACTATGATCTCAACCTTCAAGATTTCTTGCTGGTGGAGGGTTCTGCAGATATATATATCTTAGGGTACGAACTGACTCAAAAGAAATTGTTTCTGTAAAAGAAATTTCATTCAAATCATTATTATAACTTGACGTTATATGTTATATGTTCAGATTTCAAGAAATTGTTCCTCTAAGTGCTGGAAATGTTCTAGTAATTGAAGACAATGAACCAGCTGCAAAGTGGTTAGCATTGATAAGTCAAGCACTAAACACGCCGAAAAACGAATGCAGTGATTCATCCGATTCAGGAACTGGATCGAAATCAAAGGATTCAAAGTCACCGGCAAATCTAAATTTCTTTCAGAAACCTTCTCTTAAAGCTATCAGTAGAAATTTCAGGGCAGAAGGAAGCAGCCTTCTTAAGGCATGCAATTGTCCTGTGGAATCTCCGTCAAAAGAGCGGCGGAGGCAAAGAAAGTTTAGTGATCCTATGAGTAAGTTAGAACCCGAGATTCGCGAAGAGAGAAGCATGGACGAGTTGTTTTCAATCGCAGAATTACCGACTCCTGGCCAATCTAAATACTCCCTTATATCAAGTAAACAAATGGTTGGGATTTTTCTTACCATATGGACTAAGAAAGAATTAGTACCTCACATTGGTCATCTTAGAGTAGACTCTGTAGGGAGAGGAATCATGGGTTGCTTAGGTAACAAGGTAACCACAAGAATCCTTATACACTATATCATAGAACTAGTACTACTGAAAAAAAGTTGAATTAGCCTAAAATATAAAACTGATCTTTCTACAATTGATTGTAGGGGTGTATATCGATGAGTATGTCATTGCATCAAACGAGCTTTTGTTTCATATGTAGTCACTTGGCTTCTGGCGAGAAAGAAGGCGATGAGTTGAGGAGGAATTCTGATGTAGCTGAGATACTCAAAGGCATACAATTCCCTAGGATTTGTAAGAATCCTTGCCGTCGAGCACCAGAAAAGATAGTCGATCACGAGTAAGTCATCAAATATATGTGTTAGAATTCGAAAGAACGGAAGGATTACGCGCCTTTTGAATTCTAACATTGTTACGCTTGTTTTGCAGTCGAATAATATGGCTCGGAGATTTGAATTATAGGGTGGCTTTGAGTTATGAAGAAACAAGGGTTTTGTTGGAGGAAAATGATTGGGAGACTTTGTTAGAGAAAGATCAAGTATATATGTTTCTCTACCTACTCATATACATATACATACATGATAGAACAGTTCAATGACCTGAGTAAATTTACTGATAAAGTTGCTTTTCATTTTTAATCAGTTGAACATAGAAAAAGAAGCAGGAAGAGTTTTCAATGGTTTCAATGAGGGAAGAATAGTCTTTGCACCAACTTACAAGTATTCGCATAATTCAGACTCTTATGCTGGCGAGACTGTTAAATCAAAGAAGAAACGTCGAACGCCAGCATGGTATTGCTTCATCACCATATGCACAATTAATCAAAAACTTATATATATTTATAAAAAAGGTATTATCATTGATAATATTCTGCTATTGAACAATTGTCAGGTGTGATAGGATACTGTGGCGTGGCAGCCGCATCGATCAAGTATCATATATTCGTGGAGAATCAAGATTTTCTGACCATAGGCCTGTTTGTGCTGTCTTTTCTGTGGGCGTGGAAGTAAGAAGCAGAAACAATAGATTCAGAAAGGGCTATTCTTATACAAGTCCGAGACTCGAATATGAAGACTTGATACCACAAAGGCATAGTTTCTATGATTATTAATCCAAACCTCAAACCAAACTTGTATATTTTTCTCTTAGTGTCTATATAGAAGAATGATGATTTTTCGCCTCGCTTTTATTGTCTTTCTATTCTGTCACCACACTCACCAAAATGTCCTTGGATAGTTAGAATTAAACAATCCTTAACTCCTAACAACTTAATAGCATATGGCTTATGCAAGTGACTAAGCAGGAACTGAAATATTCTTTGTCATGACTTATATCACTTAGCGATTGATGTAAATAGAGTTGAATTTGAACCATTCATTGTTATACAAACATGAAATCAAGAGGAGAAACTAATGGTATCAATATTAATTTGAATAGACTAAAGCTCAAGTGAGTTACATATATAAGAAGACATAAGGTCCATACTTATTTAAATCTCTATTTTCTATCTAATTAAAATATTGAAAGTAAACATATTGGCATGAAACTCGGATCATCTGCGGTGTTGTCTTCCTGTCCAGTGAAATTTTATTCGCTGGACAGAAAGATTGTATTGCAGATAATCCGAGTTCTCAAGAGAGAGGAAAAGAACCTAATGGTACGTCAAGTCCCAAATTGAGGTTCCTTCATGACTTAATGTGGTATCTTGTGCTGGATTTTGATTTAAGTCCACATTGTCTCTTTCCCTGTCCACTCCCATGTGCAATTCAAGATCTTGTATGCCATTTAACCAAAACTCACTATAATCTTCTACTGTCCTATGGTTACTAGGATCCGGATTCTGACTACTAGATCCTGCTATATCCATATTCAACCAATCATCTGACAGATAATCATGGAAGGGAACATGTCCTTGTTCTGTTCTGTAAGAACATAGTGATTCATGGTTCACCCTTGAACTTTTGTCTGAAAATCCCATACACAATTCACTTTGTGGACACTCAGCATATTGACATGAATACATCTTATCAAAATCAACATCGAGATCAAAATCAAAACCGAACTCACTCTTCCTCTTCTCATTCAAAACATGTGTAACAACACTACTAGAGCTTTCACCTTCTTCTGATATCTTGAGACACTTTTTAGTGAGCTGTGAAAGCAAAGCTTGTTCTTGGTTCATAACTTTGCACCAAGTTGCACTATCTTTAGCAGTCATCTTATCTTGCAAAGTCTTGGATTGAGTCACAAGCCTTCTAACTTTATCAACATCAGGAGACAAGTGTTTGATGATTGCAGCCAACACAGAAACTTTCCAACCCTTTTTCAAATCATGAGGCTTTTTATACGGCGGCGGGCCGTGTCTTTGTGCCAAAACACCTTGTTGACCCCACCACTGTTCTTTTCCATTTGGCCACCAAGGAGGAGCCAAACCTCTTTCAAGAGGGAACCTTCTTTGTGGTGGCACACAGTGTTGCATGAGAGCTGAAAGCAGTGAACCTAAAGTAGTATCTTGTAACTCATAAAGTAAATGCATGTATGATGAAATTGAAACTTGTGGATTTTCAAAAAGTGGTGGTAATAATAAGTATTTTGAAACTGCTTCTGGTGCATTTTGGCTGAACTTGACTTGTTCTTTCCACCATTCACGCAAGCTTTCAGAAGAACCTGTCACTGGTTTTCCATTTTCTGGGACAATACCGTATACAAAACCTTGACCTTTGCATATTGTCATAATCTTCATCATATATTTGAGGATTGCATCTTGTGCTCTTGACATCTTCTTCCTTCTCGATGCTTCAACTTTTGCTTGCTGGTTTTGTTCTTGTTTCTTGCCTTTCTCCTTTAGCTTCTGTAGTAGCATTTTGTCCTTCCACATGCGTTTCTTCAGCTCATCATAATCTATTTCTTCTTCTTCTTGTTCAGATGGATTGGTTCCTTCAGTGATTTTCACCATAGTTTATTTCTGTGAATTGTTATTTGCTAGTGCAAAACTGAGAATATATATGTGTGTGTGCATGAAGGTACTGGAATGGCGGTGGTAAAAGAGAATGATCCAACATGAGAGAAAATGAAGTTTATGAAATGGTGAAGTGAGTGCCGCGTGTGTTGTATTCACGTGGCTGGGTATGGATTTCATGCAGTAATGCTCTTGGCCTAATTACTAGATTCATACAAAAGAATTATTTCTTCATCTTATTTTTTATACCACCAATCTTATCTTTTCGATGTATTAAAAAAAACTACATTTACATTTTTTTATCGATGACACTTATATTTGCTAGACTACTATTTTTTTTATATTTAATTTTGTATATATAGACATTATTTTATGTAAAGTAGAACTAGTAACGAAGGTAGTGAAGGTTGAAGAACTAAAGTTATTGAATTAAATGTTAACTCTTGAATAGCGAAATATAGATAATAGAATGTAGAAAGTTCGAAAAACATTGATTAATATAAATTGTATTTTAATATAAATTATTTTTTAATATTATTATGTGGTATTTGGATCAAACTCTAACCCCGACAAAATTAGCTTTATGGTGCAATGAGCGTGGAGGAGAAGATGTCGTCAACAAAATATGAGATTGAGAAATTCACTGGTGTGAATGATTTCTGTTTGTGGTGTTTGAAGATGCAACCCCTATTAGTTCAGCAGGGTTTGTTAAAAGCGTTGAAAGGATCAGAGAAGATGGATGCTTCTCTAACGAAGAATGAGAAGACGGTGATGATCGAGAAGGCCCACAGTGACATCATATTGAGCCTTAGTGATAAGGTTCTTCGACAGGTCTCGAAGGAGAAGATGGCACCGGGTGTGTGGAGAAAACTCGAGGGTTTGTATATGACCAAATCTTTGGTTATTCGTCTCTACCTAAAGAAAGCTTTATATTCATTCAAGATGAGTGAAGACAAAGTCTTGACTGAACAATTGGATATGTTCAACAAGTTGATTCTTGATCTTGAAAATATCGAGGTCAAGACAAATGATGAAGATCAATTGTTGCTGTTGTTGTGTGCTTTAATAATATCTCATGCTCATTTCAAAGAAACTCTCTTGTATGGAAGAGATTTGTTGACCTTTCAAGAAATTGAGTCAGCCTTGTACTCTAAGGATCTGAACGAGCGAAAGGAGCACAAGTTATCTTCAATTGGTGAAGTTCTGTCCGTTAAGAGGAAATTCTTGAAGAAAAATGGTAGATTTGAGAAGAAGAATGGTAAAGTTCTACATAATTTTTATGGTGCTAATGCTCCTGCAATTAGGTGTTATCGTTGTAAGAAGGAGAGACATACAAGAAAGGTGTGTCCTAATCGACTGGATAATCATGGTGGAAAGGATAATGGTAATACATCCATTGTGCAAGATGATTATGAATCATTTGATGTCTTGGTGGTTTCAAGAAACAACTCTAGCAAGGAGTGAATTATGGATTCAGGGTGTACTTGACACATGACTCCAAACAAAGACACGTTTGAGGAATTATGTGATCAAGATGGTAGATCAGTGCGGCTGAGAAACAATAAAGCCTGCAAGATTGCAAGAATTGGATCTATGAGATTCAAGTTTCATGATAAGTCAATAAGACTATTGACTGATGTTAGGTATGTATATGATCTTAAGAGGAATTTGATTTCTCTTGGTGAATTCGACAAGAAATGATATATTTTCAAAGGAGAGCAAAGTATCCTAAGGGTAATGAAGGGGTCGAAGGAAGTCTTGAGAGGCGTAAAGAAACAAGGCTTGTATACCCTTGAGGTCGAGGTTGTAAGTGGTTCGGTAGATGTGGCATCCATAAAACCCGTGTCGAAGACTGAGCTATGGCACAAGATACTTGTCCATGCCAGTGAAAGGGGCCTGGTCGAATTGTTGAAACAAAATATGCTATGTGGTGACAAAGTCGAAAAACTAGAGCTTTGTGAACCTTGTATATTTGGTAAATTCTGCAGGGTGAAGTTTAATAAAGATAAACAAAGAATACATGGGTGGTCATTTGATTATATCCATGATGATCTTTGGGGCCTGCAAGAAATCTTTCTCACTCACGTGCAAGATACTTTCTATCCATAGTTGATGATTACTCACGAAAGTTGTGGGTTTTCACTCAAAAAATTAAGGATGAATCTTTTGAAAATTTCAAAAGTTGGAAGACTATAATTGAAAACCAAACTGGCGAGAAAGTCATGAGATTGAGGACTGAAAATAGTCTTGAATTTTGTAATGAAGCTTTCAATAGCTATTGTGTTGCGTCTAGAATCGCAAGGCACAAAACTACCGTAGATACTCCCCAACAAAATGGTTTGGCTGAAAGGTTTAATTGAACCATTTTAGGAAGGGTTAGATGCATGTTGGTTAGTGCAGGATTGAAGAAGGTGTTTTGGACTGAGGTTGCAGTGACTGCAACATACTTGATAAATAGATGTCCTTCGATTGTCTTGGGGATAAAGACACCCGAAGAATTTTGGTCGGGACATCCACCTAATCTTGACAGACTTAGAGTATTTTGTTGTTTAGCCTATGCTCACATTAGACAAGACAAGGTCGAACCTAGAGCTCTTAGATGTATGTTCCTTGGATACCCTAAAGGAGTCAAAGCTTATAGGTTGTGGTGCCTAGAGCCAAGTCATATGAGGTGTTTTATAAGTCGAGATGTAATTTTAAATGAATCTAAAATGGCTTTCAAGAAAACTGATGATGTTGGTCAAAGTTCAAAGATCTCGGAAGAAGAGTTGGAACAGGAAAAGATTACTGTCGAGGTGGAGCATAGTGATGTTGAATTGCATAACCCAGATGAAGTCGAAGGCCAAGCATAAGTTGTTGATGAAGATGAGGAGACTGATAATGACTACCTGGTCGTAAGAGACATGTCGAGAAAAGTCATCAAGCCACCTAAGAGACTTGGTTATGCAGATCTCATATCATTCGCCTTAATCTCTACAAGTGAGGTTCTTGATGAATAATCTATAGACTACAAGGAAGCTATGAGCATTCGAAATAAGAATGAATGGATGAAAGCCATGGATGATGATATGAAATCTCTTCATGATAATAACATTTGGGAGTTGATCGAAAAACTTGTTAGAGCCAGGTTAGTCATTTGTAAGTGGATTTTAAAGGTTAAGGAAGGAATCGAATGAGTGATGTCGAAACGATTTAAGGTAAGGTTGGTTGTTAGGGGGTCACACAGAAAAAAAATTGAATTCAATAATGTGTTCTCACCTGTTTTAAAGCACATATTCGTTAGAATGTTGTTAGCCATGGTGACAAAGTTCGACCTAGAACTTGAACAGATGGATGTGAAAACAACCTTCCGTATAGTGATCTAGATGAAACAATCTTGATGGCACTTTTGATAAAATCAAACACTCTTACCTCTAACTACATCATTCCTCATAAACTATTCAATTACCAAATTAACCATTAACTATCATAACTTCCAAATTAACACAAAAACTTTCAAACAAACACAAATCTCATCTTCTTATTTTTCTTCAATCCTAACCATTCTTAACAATTAATCCAATGGTTGAAATTAGTGATCCACAACTAAGGATTAAATTAATTTCTAACCATTGATAAGTTTTTAATTGGATCACAATCCAAGGGTGATTATCCATTTACAAAACCTATATAAACATGTCATTTTTCAATTTTTTTTTTGGGAGGGGGGGGGGGGGGGGGGTGTTAACTAATTTAACTTAGAGAATCTACAATTAACCATTATTTATCCACCATTTTTCTTCTCAAATTCTCTGTCAATTTCTCTATCAATTCATCTTCTCCCTCACCCTCACCAAAGCTCATCTTCATCACAATTTAAAAGTTCACATTGAAGTTCTAAAATGGTGGAACTTAGCCACAATCCAGCTTCAACAAATCATCAATCAACAATTCAAGCATAATCATCAATAATCATCATTTAAAGTTTATAAAGATTCATCAACAATCATCATCCAAAGTTCACAAATTTAAGCTTATTCATCAACGTTCTACATTATCTTATAAATTCATTCATCATCAAACATTGAAAGTTAATTGGATTAAAGGAGTGTATTCTTGAAGTTTTCCGTATTTCACTCTGACACTCCGATTTTCAACAATAACCGGAGCAAGCCTCTGGTCCGTCGGTAATCAATATCTCTTCCACATTCTTTCCATGAATTATTAGATGTTTGCTTGTTGAATAATTTAAGCTATTGTTTGAAATAACTTAATGGAATAACCACTTATTTTGACATAAACTTGAAAATAGTGATTTTTAATTCTTAAAAATGTTAATTACATGTTAATTTAAGCATAGTTTATCTATATATAATTAGTAACTTGTTTCGCAATTTATGATATATATTTGATTTTTGCATTATATATATTATGGCATTTCCACTAGCGAACCTGGTAAGTCATGTTAGAGAGATTTTCACTAAGGAGCATTGAACATTGTGGGACTTCTTTTCTAAAGTAAGACCTTTGTGAGAAACACACCACATATTCACCCAAAACCTTAAGGTGATAGGTGTGTGAGTTCTCCCACTTATAAATACTCAAGTTTCCACATTTCTAGTCAATGTGGGACTATTACACATACTACTCACACTTGTTTTATTTAACACTCCCCCTCAAGTGTGGGTCTATCCATAATGCTTCCCCTTAATCAAAAACTATTTTCTACTTCTACATACACTTGTACTGTCGTTGATACTCTTCAACGAGACACTCTACCCACGACCTGTGAGGATACTTTTGATACAAGTGAGTCGGTCCCTTCCTCGAACCAAAGGCTCATGATACCACCGTTGGGTGAAATTTTCACTAGGGAGCATTGAATGTTGTGGAACTTTTCCTTTCTAGAACAACACCTTTGTGAAAGACACACCACATATTCACCCAAAACCTTAAGGTTTTGGATATATTTGGTGTGTCTCTCACAAAGATGTTGCTCTAAAAAAGAAGTCTCACAA